CACAAATCTTAACAAAATGACACTAGCTTTTCTTGAAATTGTACATTTATATTAATAATTTTATTACTTTTAGAAGACTTGCGTATTAGCGAATGACATAAGTAGTCATAATAGCAAAGTAAAAAAATCATTAAATTATATTCTTTTCAAAAATTATAAAAAGCTAGCGTTATTTTATTTATTTGGATTTGCTTGGTGCACTTACCCTCCAAATTTCATGTCTCTATCTTGAACGGTTTTTTAAGTTTTTGGCTTATAAGGCCAAGAAATTAACATTTTGAGGAAAGGAGCAAAAACATTTCAAAATTGCTTTAAAGCATTGTATTGGCTCACAATGTTACCAACTTTATGGAGCTATCTCTTTGGAATAGAGCTTTTGGAGTACTTCCATTGGATTTAGCACTTAATTTTAAAGGGAAGTTTCTAAAGACTGAAAAAACATTGTTTAAACCCAGACTGGACCCCAAACACCCATGTGTGGCCTTAAACTGTTGTTAGTCATGGGCAGAGAACCAAAAGTCTGGCTGATGGTCTGAGAGAGCTCAGAGACCATCTCCTTACAAACAACTGTAAACGGTTAGATTTTTTAGTTCTTGTAAAAAATTAGTAAGCAACGAGATTGGGGAGCTACTTGTGGGTGTAAAGATAATTTCTTAAATGGACCCAGTTGGTGTCTGTAAATCTAACAAACAGTTGACTATCAGTGAGTGCTCTCTGCCATGACATCCCCAGGCAAGCGTCCTTGGGAAGGGCCGCCCCAGTACCTGGACACCATTGCAGACGGCATCCGGCTACAGCAGACGGGCTACATCACCACACCCATACTCATGGAACTGGCCGAGAAAGACGTCTTTGAGATGGTTGGTGGTTTTGTGATAGTCTGATGCAGGGGCCTCAAACTCAAAGTCTGTTGGCTAATTAAGGCCCTCAGGAGGATATTTTGGGGTCCCTACTTGACATTAAAGTTTTATTTTAATATTTCCCAAGTTTGATCAGTTGTTTTTTACTATTGTGAGGAAACATTTGATTGGGGTTTTCAGGCTGAGCTGTTCGACAAATCTGTAAGTTCTTTTAGAAAACAGTGGTGTGGATACAAAGAAAATACAGCGGTTCAGTTGGGAAATGGCATATATTGTACAAGCTATCTCTGATCTCAAGTCTTTGGTGTTCATGTTATCCTTGCCCAACTGTATCTATGTTTAAAAAAAACCAACACTCCTCTCTGCCATGAACTTTACTTTGTCAAATTACAGATCCAAACTTACAAATGAGTGTCTTCTAGTCATGTCGAGGGTCTCACTTGCTCTCTCGCTCATGCCATAAGCTGTGTAAGAGGAAGAATTGCCAGGTCTCTGCCAGCAAGGGGCAGATATAAAAGGACCATGTGTTCTAATGTGTTGTTAATAATGTAAAAATTGAGAAGATTAGATCAGTTGTACTTTTAAAAAATACTTAAGACTTTTTCGGTGGGGGGTGGGGGGGTGCTTACTGCCCAGGCTCGCTCAAACTCTACTTGTGGGGGAGGGGGGGCTGCCCAGGCTCGCTAAGACTCTACTCCAGTGGCCCCCAGGTAATTTGAGTTTGATATTTTCAACTGCATATGGTTTCTTATAACAGTTTACTTGACCTACATTTTATTGTGTAGCTGAGTCGTTCTGCTGGGATGTTGTATCTCTCTCAACCCGAGTTGACGCTGACAGGCAGAATCGGAAGCCCACCTCCTAAACGGTCTATATTGTCTTGAAAGGGACGTGAAAACACTTACATTGAAAGAAAAATCTGTGACACTTACAGGTTGACTATAGCTCAATGTACCGGAACTTTACATGTTGTGCAAACCTGACTGTTATTGTTAATGCATTGCTGGTTCAGAGTCAGACAAATTCGTTGAGGGTTTTTCGACTACTCAATCACTTGATACACTATTGTCCATCTGTCTTATGGTAAATTTAAAATGTTTCCTAATTCCCATTTTTTTCTTTCAGAGTGATGAAGAAATTATTGAAGGAATGAAGTTCAGCTTCGAGAGAATGAAGGTACACTGAGTGTTCTTATTTGGAATGTCTTTTAGTTCAAAAAGTTCCTTTAGGTTTCAATGTAAACAGTGTTTGAAGGTTAGCTGTCTCCCTGTAGGTTAATGTGCTTATGCCTGTTCTGGTTGCAATAACCGGTGTCTGTTATAGCAGTTAGGCACTTCGTTGTGGCACACAGGAGATCTGAGTTTGATTTCAGAGTGGGGAGCATTTTTATCGAGCACCTCGGTCTTTCTGCTGGAGTGTAATATCCCTCTCAGCCTGGGTTGGGTGATCTAAATTATATCATTGGGGCATAAATACTCATTTTTTTAATGGTTGAAATTAATTTGATTAATTTTAATTAAAGTATGTGTCAGTGTCAGGATGCCGTGGAATCAGGCGCTCGTCAATTTGTGGGCATGTGGAGTTATTGGTATCATCTGAAAGCTGATTTATTTGCCTTGCTTCCAATGGAATAGATATATACATCCATCTATCTCAAACAGAACTCAAGACATCTGCGATTGAATGAAGTGGTGTCAAAGGTAGAATTACTGAGAAAATGCCCACCAAAGTTTGGTATTTCCAATAGCCAAAGAGTCCTAGAAAACTGAAAATTTACATATTTTTTGCCATTTATCAATGGGGTTTGCTAAATTCACGTGGAAATGTGTTTTATGGACATAAAAGAGATTGAGCCAAAAAATAAAAATTGGATAGAAAATTTCCAAACTGGCGGAAAGATGCCTGTTTCTTCAATTTCTGTATTTTGACGAGCGCCTTATTTCACCACACTGCCTCACATGCCTCTTCGATTTTGTATGGCTTGTTATTTTCATGAGCTGGTAAGTTCTGAAAGCCTGATTATTGCTTGATGCTGACTACTCGTTTTGGGTTGTTTTTTTTTTGTTTTTGTTTTTTAAATAATTTTTAAAAAAATGCTGATTCTACTCAATTTCTCTACGTTTATCGTTTTTGTTTTTGATGGGTGATTGGCAGGTGCTCTTTCTTTCCTATCAAACATGTATCGTTCTTTTCTCTCCTTTTTTTGTGTTTATTGCTCTCTTGTAACAACTCTAATTTTTTACACTTATAGGACCCTGACCTAATTGTGTTGCAGATGCCGTAAAATGCTTTCTAACTCCCCCCGGGGCAGTGCCACTGACTATAGTGTCTTTAGGCCATTCCCAAAGGGGGGGCATTTCTCGTTCAAGCATAGTAGAATTGTAAATGGGCTGACTCATGTCACGCTCATAACTGTGCCTGAACTACAACAGGGAACTGCTGCTTTTTCTTTCCTGATCCTTACTATTGTCATTTTCCTCTACTTCTTTTGTATGTTTGTCACTCTCTTGTGACCTGCTAT